GATCCCCAATACTTCATAATTTTGATCAGTATGTGATCATCTAAGTCTTACCTGATGCAAATACAATTGGGACTTGGACACAATTTACCCACTGACCTATGGTTTAATGTCCTACGTTGCAGAGAACTAAAAATGTTCATGTCTTGAAAAAATTATCATAATATACTTAAGTGAAAAGAGCAAGTTAAAATAGTAAGACAGTTTGATACTGTGTGTGTGTGTTTTGTGGTTTTTTTTTTTTTTCTTTTTACATATACTCTCAGATACCCAGACACAGGCAAAAATTTGGAATGATAAATCCCCAGATGGTAGTTATTTTGGAATGGAGCGTATAGGAATTTATACTTTCTTCTTCATCTGCCTGCTGTATTTCATACATTTTCCACAGTGAATATGTACTGGTTTTCTAATTCTAAATACATTTTCATTAAATTCCTCTGTATGATGATACATGTTCAATTCAGACTTAAAGATTTCAGATTTAAAACTCCCTACTTCAAAACCACACAAAACCACATAGCAAAAACACTAATTGAAGGCCGGCCTCAGCATAGCAACAAGAATTTCAATAAAATGATCTCATTAGATTTCCAATTAACCTTCAAAAAATAAAAGATTTTGCAGCAATCAGATGAAAATGGACTTTTAAAGACAGCTGTCTTTTCTTAGTTACAAATACAGTTGACCTTTGAACATGGGTATGAACTGAGTGGGTCCACTTATAGTATACAATAAGTACTATAAATGTATTTTCTCTTCCTTTCAGTTCTTAACATTTTTTTTGTTTATCTTACTTTATTATAAGAATCCAGTATATAAAACATGTAACATAAAAACTATGTGTTAATTGGCTGTTTATGTTATCAGTAAGTCTTGTCAACAGATGGATATTAGTGTTAAGTTATTGGGGAGTCAAAAGTTATACGTGGATTTTTTACTGCATGGTGGGCGGAGGGCAGTGCCCCAACCCCTATGCTATTCAAAGATCAAGTGAATACAAAAAGTAAATTAAAGGAGGAAACCTGGAACATTTCTAAAGAGTGACCGATTTTAAGCAGATTGAACAGTTCTAGCTGATTAAAAAGACAACTGATTAGCTAAGTTTTTAGAATGAAATCCATAGTACCTAATTCTAAGTCCTTGTCATCATTTTAGCAGTTTTGACAATACAAGAAATTCCGTACTACAAATCCCAAGTATCTAACTATTTTGAGTGAGGCCTATAGTCATTTTGGAGAGACTAATTAAAAAGTGTAATTTAGTTAGGGGAAATTGTAAAGGAAATTCCCCATGACAATGCAAAATAAAGTAGGCTAAATCATATCACTATGTTTGTATGTGAATAACTATATTGCATCCGTGCATTTCATACCAACTGGGTTTTTTCTATAATCTGTTAAGCCATTTGGAGGACTGTTGGATAATGCATTGCAGACAACCTGCAGTTCCCTTTGCATTTTATTATTCACCTCTATCAACTTAACACTCAGAAATTCTAGAAGCCAATTTTTCTGTCTAGATAAAATCTAAGAACTTTAAGTACATTCAGGTACTGAGGTATTTCTTATGGTAATAGTGTTGGCACTTATTGTAAATAATGCTTATACTTTGTGGTATTTGGCAAGAACACTCCCATTTTTATGATTAGACTTTAGTTTTCAGCACACTATCAAAGTAAATAGAAATCCCATAGCAATATTACTAGAATGCCTATTTTATGGATCACCAACTGGACTTGAATAAGAAGTTCCTGGTATGTCTGAAAGGATGATGTATCACAATTAGCTTAATTCTGATGCATCAATTCAGAGAGAGAAAGAGAAATGTATAAATGTGTTCTTGAAGATTTCTAGAAATATTGATTTGATATTAAAAAACAAACTTAAGAGAATAATTTATTAATCATAAATTATTAATGTTATTTTTATATTCTCCAGATGCACTTCTCCTTATCATAAATTCATGGAGGTAGGGACTTCCTTTCAGCCATGTATATGAGTTTATAAATAATCTGATCACAATCTTCCCCCTATTTTTGTCTCTATAGCATATATTAATTTATCAACAAACACAAAATTAAAGACACAAAAAATGACAACTAACCCAAACTTCCTCCAGTACAGTAGCAAACTATGGAAATAGATTCAGTACAGTAGCAAACTATGGAAATAGATTAGCACAGGATAACATATATCTTTCAATTCTCTAATGAAATGTTGAGTTTTATAAGTAATAACATTTGTTTTAAGCATATGTCTTTGTATTTTTGTCATTTGAAAATTTTGACCGAGTTTTTTCTTTATATACACAAACATTTCAATGAATACAATGCTAACTTAATCAGCCCATTTAACTAATTGTTCATGTTTAGATAATAAAATATTTATTATATAGATTCAAATTACCATTTGTTTCCATATAAAAGTACCTGTTGGAACTCTATACAGAAAACTACATTCATTTTCTAAAATCCATTTTTAAAATTTCTATGCATTACCCACATGCATTTTTTTAAAAACTAAAAATTATCATTTTCAGAAGTAAAAAAATAAGTGTAAGTATTGAAGAAAAATAATAATTGATCATCTGGGCTTCAATTATTTGTGTGAATTTCCAGAAATGTCTTTAGAGATCTAGAGCCAATCTGGGCACATCAACATGCATAGCAAGAGAAAAATGAGAGGAAAAATTGCTTTAAAAATTCTTTTCATTTTGATATTTTCAAATTATAAAGCCAAGAATAATTACTTGGCGCACATTATTTTTCATCAGTGGTTTACTTTGATATAATAAAGTAGCAAGAAAAAAATGTGTGAGGAACCTCATCTTGACGTCTAAGAGTTCATTTTCACTCGTGGTAACAAAACCTCTGCTCCGTCCACAAGACCAACCAAATAGCATTTCCAGCTCATCTCCGCATTCTGATTGTACCCCCTCCCCAAGCCCCAGGCGGAATTGTTTCCCTGACAGGCTCTCCCTCCTGGCTCCTCTCGCTGTGCATGGGCTTCATTCCTCACGCTTGCAGCCGGCTCTCCCTCTGTCTTGAGTCCGTCCCATACCTTCTGTTTGACCTCTCTCACCTCATTCATTCACTGAACAAATATTCAACAAACTGAGCATCTACCAGGGGCCAGTCACACCTCCAGCAGTGGGGATCAGCAGTGAACAAAACAGATAAAGTCCTTGCCCTCCTGGAACCTACAGGCATTCCAATGTAGGAGTTAAGTAATAGTGAAGACCTATATAATGTCATGTACTGATACAGTCTCTGAAGCAAATAAACCTGGAACAATGTGGTAAAATTTTAGAGTGAAAGGTGTGATTTTAGATTGGCTATTCAGTAAAGCTATGTTGAGAAAACACCCTTTGAGCAGAGATTGGAAAAAACAGAATCTGCATTAATAGAATACTTATTATGGACCATGCTTGTATTCTCACTTGTATTCTCAACTCCTTACCATGGTTCATCATGGGACCCCTTGGGTAGAATGAAATTGTCTTCTCCCCAGCTAGTGATTGTGGCCATGAAAAAGAAGTATGGGCAATAGGCAGAAAACATGGGCTGGGGTACACAGCTAAAGGGGTGTGATGGAAAGTTGAAGACAGGACAGTGAGATGACAACATTTTCACGTCTGATCTTTATAACCTGTTAGGTCTGTTGGCAAAGCAGTTATTCTTAACACGTAAGAAAGCAGGAACTGTCACAACATAGTGTCTCCTAAAGTGAAACATGCGAAAGCTATGCCCAGACATAGTTAATCTCAAGACCAAGACCAAACCAAACAACAAAACAGTTGGCCGCCTGTGGAACAGCCACCTCTCGGCGGTTAGTAATTTCTCCATTTAAGACCAATTGGCAGTAACATTACAGACAAGGTCTAACTACCAGCTTAAGCTTTGAAATGGATTTTTTTTTAAAGTATAGTTTTATGATTCAATGAAATAAATATACTGAACAAAATATGTTTTCTTGTTGTATGTTAAGATAATATTGGAAAATAGTGTTAAAATGAATTTTGCGTCTCTTTAATAGTCAAAAGCCAAAGAAACATTTTGTATATCTAATGATCAAACCCGGAATTAGTACAACCCATAAACTAAGAGAATATGTACATTTCTTCTTACAAGGGAGTTTCTTGAATATCAATCCTCGATAAGAAAGTTGGGAATACTTGCTCTCCTCCATGCAAATTCTTCTGATTCTGAAGTTTAAGTTAGAATTGATCTTGCTGCTCTGTTTTCCTTATCATCAAGCTTATATTTCCCATTTTTAAAAAGAAAGATAAAGAAAAAAGAGTCTAGTGTACAAGCATAGATACTGTTTCTGAGAGTATATTCACTGTTTCCATGAATCACTTTTAAAAAAAGGATGACACAAACTTGGGCAATATTGTAAATACACTGTAGTTCTCTTTTGGAAGACAAAATGCATATCAACATACTAAACATTCTGAGAAACCCTGGTACAAAATAACAATGAATTAATTAATACAAAGTTAAACAGATTATTGCCCCAATTTATGTCATTACAGAAGTGTTTATTTTCAATAACATCTGCTAACACTGCAAGTCTCTAGAGTTCCACGGAGCACATTTTGGGACATGCTGCTCTTCACATTTTTATTGTTCCACCTATTGATTTTGCTTTGGCAATTTTTACTGTCCTATTTCTTTTTTTTCTCTTTTTATTTTTGTATGTAACACTTTTTAGTGCTTACTATATTCTAGGCACTGTTTAAAGTACTTTATGGTTATTATCTCACTTATTCTTGACAATAATCCTCAGTGATTAAATATATAACAGGTCAGCAAAGGGGCCAGAGAGGTGAAATAACTCTCCCCACATCCTGCTGCTGGTAAGTGGCACAGCCGAGGGCTGAGATCAAAAGAGGTCTCTAAGACCTGCCACCTATGCTCTTAACAAATAAGCCCCCAGTGTACTCTTCCACTCCCAGAGGCATGCTTCTCCTCCAAAGACCCGCAGAGATTATCAGCCTACCCAGCTCCCAATCCAACAATATCTTCCAGACCGTAGGACCTCTCTGTTGCGTCTGAGGTTGGCCAATTTCTTCCACTTGAAATTTCCTAGACTCTGGGTTTCCTTGATTCTGCTTTCCTCCTGTGCCTCTCTGGCTGGTCCTTCTTCATCTTGTGCATTCCTTATTGAGTGCTGGTGCTCCTCAAGGCCCCATCCCGGCTCACTGCCCTTTTCTCCGTGGCCCTCTGCTGGGACATCCCCATTCACATCTCCAGGCCTGTCCTCTCCCCTAGACGTCTGATCATATCCAAGTACCTGTTTTATTAGGCACTTCAAATTCAAGACATCTACCACTGAATTCGTCATGTCCTATATTAGTTGGGATCTCAGCAGGACACACAGTGGAAAGTCCAGAGAGTTTAATCAAGGCACTGTTACTAACAGAAGTGTGGAGACAGATGATACTGAGCAGGGCTGGAAAAGCATCCACGGACAAGTAGCAGTGAGAAGCTGTTACCCTAAAAGGATAAGGGGAGGAAGCTCTTTCTAGGATTTGACCCCAACTTTTCCTTGGGAGAAGGGAAGGACTACAGGATTGGAAGATGAAATGAAGCCACTGCCTAACAAGGGCGAGCCAGGGTGGAGGCTGGGTGAATGTGTCCTGCTTTCTTTCCCCTACCAGGAATCCTCTGCTAGTGCCTCCGATTAGTCAGACTCGGGATAGGCCAAAGGGCCAGGGCGCCTGGAGGAGCAGCCTCTACAGGGAAGCCTCCTGGCCTTGAGCAGGCGGAGAAGGGAGTAAGCTGATCTGCAGGGGAATGGACACTGTCCAATGCACATGCTATCTCAAAACAGCAACATCCCAGGCAAAGGTGTTCCTTACCTGGAAATTACCCTCGAGCTCTCTATCCCCAATTTCCCACATCTAATCAGTCTTGTCAATTTACCTACTTTTTACATTGTCTCTCTTCCTTTAGTTCCCTTTTCCATCACTCTGGTGTCAACATTTGTCATCTCTTAATTGGACCGTTACAATAACCTCCTGGCAGTTTAACTTCTTCCGGGCCTGCTCCACCTTTGGGACAGCCTTTCTTACAGCCTGAGGCTCCATCTAAAAAGGAAATCTTACCCCTTTAATTAAGTCCTTCAATATTTCTCTTCACCTAAAGAATAAGGACCTACTTTTTGGCACAGCATATAGAAGCTTCCCTGACCTGGCTTCTGTTGGTTCGTTTCCCTTTGTTTACATTTGTATTTTCCTCAACACTGTCCTGTTTTCACAGCATTGCATCTTGGCTCATGCAGTTTTCTCTGTCTGTATGTCCATGTTTTCTAACCTAACTCATCCCATGCTTCAAGACTCAGCTCAAGCATGAACTTATAAGAAATCACTTCCTAAGTCATGAGATATAGTTGTGTCTCTCCTCTAACATCCCATATTTTCCTCAATTAAACAATACAACAAATATGACTGTATTTTAATGCCACTTTGTTTCTCTATGTTTATTTTCCAGTATGCTACTTATGGGGATTTAACTTTATTCCATTCTTACACCTACAATATCTAATATAATTCCTGGGATACTATAGAAGCTCAATAATTATTTTATTAACTGAATGGTATTGGGCAGTAAACCATTATCCTAGGATCCAAAATATAGACTTAGTATTGAAGAAAAAAAGTAACTTCTCAATGTGTTCATTCTGACCTTGGGAAAGACCGTCAGTCAAAGTTTATAGGATGCTCGAGAAAACTAAAAGGCAAAGAAAGATTAATTAGAAGTTAAAGCTGGGATTAAAAAGAAGAAATGTTGGAGTTAAATCAGGATCCTGATTCAAAAAGTAAGGTACAAGGAATTAGCAACCAAACCTCCGATAGGTCCAAATATACAAAGGGCACTGACGATTCTCTGGAATGCTCTAACAGCTGGTTTGTATATGTGAATCACAAGCTCCTATGGGTGGAGCCAAGATCAGCGCTCTGAAAACCTAGGACAAGCTTGCAAAGGGCCAAGCTTACTAATTAAGAGTAATGAGTGATCACAGGTTACATGAGAGGTGTTCAAGAAGGTTATCGACGTATTCTTCTGAATTTCTGGTAGAAACAATACGGAACCAGCTAGAGCCAATAGCACCAGGGGAGAAGAGGTCAAGAGCCTTGTGTTCTGCTTCCAGCTCCATCCCACTCTATTCACCCTCTTACTCATTTCTCCTTGTGCCACAGTAACCTTGTCTCACCTCTTCAAATCAGTGACACAAGTGCGCAAAGAAGTCTCATATTTATTTAAGCAGAAGGAGCTATTACAATGGGTCTCTAAGGCCAACATACATGAGTTCTTTAAGGTTATGTCCCTGGATTAACCATCATAGAGATAACCAAGACCAGGGTGTTGAAAAGGTTTCCTCTCTTAAGGGCAAAGTTCTGGCACAAAAAAAAATTAGAGGGACCTCTACTAAAGTAATGCAGAAATCGTTGTCAGTTATGGTTGGAAGTAGTCACAAAAGAGAGATGATATGAAAGAGGGAACAAGAATGTTACCTGCAGGTGTGAGTATTGCCTGGAGTTGTAGGTCACAACAGGAGGTGTGGAAAGCTATTTCCCCTAGCATTTAACTCTCTTTTTTAATTGATGAAAATAAATTAACAGTTGAGGTAACACTGATAAATAAATGAGGAATCAGGAGTATTTTCTGGAAAAAATAACATCAGTATTTTGACCTATGATTCTAATGAATTGTTAATATAAGGGACTGGTAACATTTTGGGTTTATTTAGTGTGATGATTGCATTGCAATTATAAAGATTTAATTCGTATAACAATAATTTTCTCATATTTTCCTTAAAGATGTGTTCACAAGTCAATATTACAGTCAACATGTCTCAGTCAGAAACTATTTATATAATGTCAAAAATTTGAATACTGTTTATTAAGCTTCTGTTATATGCTTAATGCCACATACTAAGCACAGTGTAAGACACACATTTACAATAGACATTCATTTATTTCAGAAATATTTACAACATATCTGGAGTAATTAAATGAATACACCAAGTGCTTTCCAGTAAAGCTCACCATTGTATTGGGGCTATGCTTCTGAATATGCAACACCATTGGAAGTATGCACCTAAAGGAATTAACATAGAAAGAGAATAAAAAATAAATGTCTGTGGTCATTGCTGTTTAGTTGCTGCTAAACCTTCTATTTTGCCACACTGCTCTCAATCACAATGTTTCATATACACCAACTGCATTTAACACCAAAGATCCTTTGCACATCTTCAAGACTCAAGTTTGAATTATATTTATAAGACTCAGGAGTCAATGTGCTTGAAGGTTAAATAGCTTTAGTTGGATACTTAGATGCTAGAAATAATGCTACCTTTAAAATAAAGTACAACTCATAGATTGCTTTGAATTCCCTATGTATATAGATGTATGTTTCTATGGGCCAAAATGAGATAGAAGTATAGTGTGAATTTTCTATTCTTTCATAAAAATAGGAATCTTTTACCCAACAAAGAATAAAAGCAAATGGATATGCGCAGTGAGAGGTATTGTCACCAATCCCCTATGGAAGCCCAGCCCAATGGACCTTCTCCAAATTATTGGGGATGTCACATGTAGAAGTGTTTCTCTAAAAGGTCGGCAACAACATTTATCAAAGGAGTCTGGGAAAGAGAAGCAAACTCTTCCTAGGAGGATGGTCTAAGCTGCTTCAGAGAGATGAAAAGATCATGGCTCATCCGCAAATATTGTACAATATAGAGTGTAGATGAACCTTCAGTGAGGGAGGTGTGTGTGTGTGTGTGTGTGTGTGTGTGTGTGTGTGTGTGTGTGAGAGAGAGAGAGAGAGAGAGAGGGAGAGAGAGGGAGGGAGGTGGAGAAAGAGGTGTAAGGGAGAAAAAGAGGAGAGAGGAGGGGTAGGGAAGTGGGTCAAGGCAGGCAGACCTTGGAGAGTGGATATTTCTCCTGAATAAGAGCACTGTGGCCAGCATCACAACACTACACATAAACCTCTTTCAGAGAATATAATTAAGGCCTTCTTTTCAAATTCGATGCTCTTCAATTATAAGTCAGGTAAGAGCAGAAATGGAAAGAAGAGGTTAAGAAAGAAAGAAGGGTTCGTGCCAAGCCTATGAGTTTAGGGAAACATTCCAGTTGACTACTAATGAGCATCACTTCAGGGAAGGCAGAATTTACATTCCTATGATGTCATAGTCTTCGATTTGCATCTTACTTGACAAAATCCTGATATAGAGGGAACTGATACAGGAAGCAATTTTCAGGGAGAGCTTTAGTAAAGATAAGATAGATGACAGAAGTTACATTGTTTTCAAGGTGAATTATGTGAAGATGCACAAGAGGGAGACTCACCAGATAAACACTCCATTTACATTCATATGTGGGTAGGAGATTTTGAGATTGGTAGGCTCCCAGTATGTTTGATAACAGAATTCTACTTTTGCTTTCTAGTTTTATATATACCATCAATATTTATATTAAATTAAAAAGTTGTATAACCAACATCATGCTTATACAACACAAATTATGCAGATATTCACCTCATAACATACAGTAGATGGTTTAGACAATACGAGATGCCTGATTAAATGTGTCCATCACTGAGCCACGGATAAGGAATGATACACAAAGACATCCATGGCCAGGCATGTTTGGAATACCTCAGGGAAACTGGTTATAGCCAATCCCACAGATTCAAATTTTCACTTTCCCACCACTTATACCAAGCTGCTTGCTTCTGATTTGTGAAAAAGAGAAAGCTATAAATCAAGCCTCATACTTGAGTTTCTCTATGGTTTTTAGAGATTTTCATTTTTATATGGAGGATACTGCAAATAGAGGAGTGAAAAATTTATTGATATGAGAATTACAGAGATTTGGGAGAGTGGGGGAATGGTTTGTCTCTTAGTCAGAGCACATACACCTTTTTAGATCTTAGCATTGAGACTCAATTGACAACTTGGTATTTAATAATGGGATTTTTCTTCATGTTCCTTTCACCACCTGCATGTTAGACCTATTTTACTGACACATATTCAAGACCTTAAGTGCAAAAGATTCTCCAAATCATAAAGAGATTATACTGTGTACCCAATTTACAGTGTAATATACTATTCCCCAAACGTAAATGCCTTACCCTATGTGTCGAACTTGCCACTTTGAACCTCTCTTGCCAAATGTAACAAAATAGGGTTAAATGAAATGGCAAACGTGAAATACGTGGAAGGCTGTCTGGCACATAGTGGTATTCAGTGTATATAAGACTGCCTGCCACAGTGGCTTCCTCCCTCTGGTATACTTTATATTCAAGTGACATAAACACTACATTTGTATAAAATAAAGA